TCCGAGGGGCGGGGTTTCGTGGTCGAAAACACTCACAATTCGCTCCCTCTTCGGAGCCCTGCTCCGGGGGTTGCAAATGTTCTGTCGTTACACTGGCCGGTGCAGCGACCGGGTGCAACACACCTGGGCCTCGGCGTATCACCCCCAGACCAACGGGTTGGTGGAGAGGTTCAATGGGACTCTGAAGCAGATGCTACGGACCTTTATGCACAAACACCCGCAGGACGGGGACAACCTGCTGCCCCCCTGCCTCTGGCTGGCACAGGGAAGATTCCAGCCCCTCCGGCCTAGGGTGCTGCCCAGGTGGAGCCATACCCCGCCCAGCAGAGCTCCCCACCCCTCCACAAACACTGCAGTGGGGGGGGGGGAAGCTATTTCCAGCCTGTTTGCGCCCCAACCCTGTAGGCTCCACTGCAGCAACCTGGGCAAGGGCTTAGCACCCGCTACCCATACTGCCCCCACCCTAGGTCCTGCCCCCAGGGCTGCTCTGTCCCCTCAGCCCCCTCCCCCGCAGAGCCACCTCTCTGGCCCGGGACACTGACGCCCCTGCAGCCAGGTTCCCGGGCCTTGGTGCTCAAGGCATCCCTAGAGCTGCCTGCCCTGTAGCCAGCAGGCGGCTGGGTGAGGTCAGTGGCCAGCAGCAGCCCGGAGGCGGGAGGTGCCTTTGTGCAGCCAGGAAGGGACAAGCTGCCTCCAGCCTCAGGAGAGCCGGAGGGGGGAGGGAAGAGATGAGCTCTGCACGGACACGGCCAGGTCATCCCTTCCCCCACCCCGTGCGGCTGGAAGCAGCTCCTGTCCCTCCCGCCCAGCACGGCCAGGCTGCTGCTGGCCACCTGGTGGGAACCCTCAGAGACACCTAGGACCCCGCGCACCCCCCACCTGTTCCCTGGAGCAGACACAGCCCCAGAGAGCAGGAGAGGCGGGCCAGGTGGAGTGCAGAGGGCAGGGGCACGGTGGTCGTCCCCCCATCCCTGCGTGAGAGCGGTGCTGGATTTGTGACCAGGGGCCCAGCCCACGCGCTCTTCCTTTGGACGCTGGTACCGCACCGGTCTGAGCGATGGCCCCGGTGC